GTTACGTTCTGATATTACTATAGTGTAATAGTTGAGTCGCCTACTAAAATGGAATTCACTTATTAGGGTTGTAACAGTTGGATATGGTTTTAAGTCTCAGTCACAACAGGAGGGAGACTTAATATAATACAAATATCAAATACAATCTTACTTGAAGGTGAAGTCAGCTTAAGTCATGAAAAAAAAATACTTTTTCTTTAGATTGATTCAAGTTTAGTAATGCGGATTTTTGTTGCATGCGTGTATTGAATCAATGAATAGGTTCAGAGTAATATGTTTCCAAATACTAAATTGGGTCAATCAATATTTTTAATTTTTGGTTGCTTTCATGTTAAACAATGATAATTTTTTTGTAATTTTTACTTTTTATTTAAAATTTTCCATTTTATCCGAATTTTTACATTTTTTTTATTGCATTAGTCAAGTCATTAACATAATGAAGTTTATCGATGGTATAACCAAAGAATCCTTTCGAAGAAGTGTGTGTCCCCTTCGATGTAAAAAGTAAAACAAAAATACCATATAAATAGAAAAAATAAGATTCAGAATAGACGTACCTTCTGTTAAAGAGTAAATAAAAGAACTGTAAATAATAAATAAATACAAATCAAGTAAATCAAAAACTCGTTCAATAGTGTAAATGTCACAATTATCGTTCGCCAAAATGATGATGTAACCTGAGACTTCGTTCGCTGAGTTGATCCTAGTGTACAAGAGTAAGGAAGGGTTGTTTCCTAGAAAGACACTCAATCCAACACCTTGCCCTAAAGACGATCAAATCCTTTAACAATTCAGCTTCGCCTAATAAAATAAATACCCAAAATAACCATATATGTTTATAAGTAGACAGCTAACACATAAACATACGACAATATGCGCGAGCTTCAATGAAAACGTACAAACTATACTATGCGCCAGTGCTTGAGCGATAGATACGACGGCGGCGCGGTGCCGTTGTCGTGATGGGAAGTACAAACTGTGATCGTGAACATCTCGCACTGCGCTGACTGCAGTCCTGGATTAGCGTACATGCACATACCCCTTCTTCTCTCCACAACGTTTTCTGTAATAGTTAAATTTCAAGTTCTCAACAAAACATTACACTCATTACAAACAATCTCTCAGAGATCAGAAGCCGTATCATCTATTGGTTATCTTTCACTCTATAATTGCACCCATGTCTTCTGGATCAAGTGAGGTTAATCCGGAGGCTGAGCGCTCGCTCTGCAATGGTTTGGAGGGTGAGTACTCCATGTTCCTTCATGTCTCTGCGATTATCATTATATTGGTTGTCTCTCTTTTTGGTACAACCCTGCCGCTCATCACGAAGTACATCCCCTTTCTTCGCAAGAACCCCTTTGTCTTTGTGGTTGCCAAAACGGCAGCGACAGGCGTGCTGCTCTCGGTGTCCATGATTCACCTGATCGGTGATGCCATCGAGGCGCTCGACGAGCCATGTGTGCCTCCCTCCCTTCATGAATTTTATGGACCATATGGCTTTTTTTGGTGGTGCTAGCAGCCTTGATGATGCACGCTGTGGACTTCAAGCTGGGTGATATAGCCCAGGGATGGCTGAAGAAGCAGGGGAAGGCGCAGGCCTCTAAAGGTGGTGAGGAGAGGGCGGCTCAAGGGGAATGCGAGGTTTTGAGCCAGGACAACCCCATTATCGATGCTGATAATGCGCAGAGCCACAATGCTGGGGAACCCTTACCCGGGAGTGGGCACAGCCATAGTGGCGGGACCCCGCCGCCTTCGATGGGTCAGCTCCGCCGAATTATCGCGGCCGTGTCGATGGAGTTTGGCGTCACCCTTCACAGCATCTTCGTCGGCCTGGATATGGGCCTCACGACGGACTCCTCTCTGAAGCCGCTGCTCGTGGCCTTGGTTTTCCATCAGCTGTTCGAGGGCATGGCGCTTGGCTCACGTCTTGTGGATGCCAAGTTTTCGTTCGTGCTGGACATGATCCTTGCGTTTGTATTTTCCGTCAGTGCGCCTCTCGGGATGACCATTTCCACCGTCGCCGTGAGCATTCGAAAAGATGCTATGGCGGGTGGTTGGTTCGCGCTGATGCTTGGATCCCTCAGCAGCTTCTGTGGTGGCATTTTGCTGTATCTCGCCTTCAGCCTACTTTTTTCGGACTTTATGATTGAAATAAAAGCACACTGTTCTGACGGTTTGCCCTTGAGGAAAACCAAGAAGTTTACGATGTTTCTATCCCTGTGGACAGGCATGATGATAATGGCGAT